TGAGCCACATCCCCAGCCCCTGAGAAAATTAATTTAAACCAACAAGTATGATTGTGTATTATTTTATTTTTATTATCTTTTTATCATTGATAACATTTTTATCAAATGCTGTTTATATATATTCAAGGTATTGTTCTTGGCTACACTCAAATTTGTCATGTTACATTTTCCCGTTGAATTTACTTTTATAATAAAATTAGTTCTATTCAGCTCTGATGATACTACCTTAGAGTGTACTTTATCTGATGTTAGAAAGTTACACTGTCTTTTTTGGATTACTATTTGAATACATGTATTTTCCCATTCTTTTATTTTCAATCCTTAGAATTCTTATATTTAAGATGTGTCTCTTAGAAATATCACATGGCTGGAGTTTGTTTTCAGTTTGACAATTTTTGGCTCTGAATTGGTGTGTTTAGGCCATTTATATTTAACATAATTACTAACAGATTTGAATCAATGTCTTACAATTTGTTTCTATTGCATGATATTTATTACCATTTTCTTATCATTTATTAACTTCTCTGGATTATCTCCTGCTTTTCTAGTTAGCTAGTTAGAGATAATTCAATTAGTCTTCAATAGATCTCTAAAGATGACAACTTAATTTTTAACTTATTACTAAAATTAGTACCTTTTCTAGAGATATAGGCAAAGAAGCGCTGTGATTTCACGTGCTTTTTTCCTGTCTTTTCTGATTCTATTGGCATAATTTAATTATGCAAATATTTTAAAGCCAAAGAGACATTATTATCATGCTTTTAATATTTTTATCCTTTCCAGCATTATTAATTTCTTTCGACATATCTCTGTTTCTAACTTTGGTTATATTCTTTCTGCCTTCATAACTTTCTCTAGCATTTCCTTCTGCATTGGCATAAATTATCTCAGCTTTCATTTGTCTGAAAGTATGTTTAACTTCTTTCTTTCTAAAAGATATTTACCAAATATAGAATTGTAAGTTACTTTTTAGCATTTTAAAAAAGATATAAGTATGTTGTCTTATGACTCAGTTTTTGTTAAGAAGTCAGCAGGTCTGACTTATTGTACTTTTTAAGGTAACATATATTTTTTTCTCTTTTTTGGAGATTTTTGCCTTTGTCTTTGGTTTTTAGCTTGTAATGGACCTAGACAAAATTTTCTTTCAGTCGATCCTGTTTGGGGTTTGCAAATGACCTTGGACCAATAGCCAAGTGACTGAAAGAAAATTTCCCACGTTCTTTTTTTTATATTAAGAAAGGGGGAATATGTGGGAGGCCAACCTTACCGGTGACTGAGTTACACTCCCCAGCTGGGTGCTGAGGCGCTCAGTCACAGAAATGGGTGTGTCTTGCTACAGCCCCATGGGTGAAGCTATGCTTCACCTGTTACTTTGTAATATAACCCCTTGCCCTGTTTAGGATAGAATCTTCCATGGAAGTGCCTTGTGTGTGTCCCCTCCTCTTACTGCGCCCTTGGGTGTGGCCTACCCAGGTGTCAGTCAACCTGCTGACAGTGGACATCATGAAGATAGACTCAGCCCCCTGAAACCTGACCCCTTGCCTCATTTGAATAGCTTCTCCTCAATAAAAGGGGTCAGCGCGTGCTCTCTCTCTCTCTCTCTCTTTCTGCGGACCCTTAAGGTCAGAGGAGCCATCACAGCAACCCCAAAGAAAAAGGTAAAAAAAAACAACAACAAAAAAAAATCTTGAATCTGTAGTTTGATTTCTTTTGTTATTTTGCAAGATGTTGGCCATTATCTCTTTGAATATTGCTTCTGCCCCCAATTTCTTTCTCCTCTTCTAGTACTCCAACTTATATTAGAAACATTTTATTAGTTCTCAAATATTGATCAACCTCTCTTATTTTTTTCATCACTTTTTCTCTCTGAACTTCAGCTTGTAAACTTTCTAGACCTTTAATTCTTATGCTCATAAACTCATCTACTAATTTCTTTATTTGAGTTACTGGTATTATCTTTTAGATTTAAAATATCCACTTGATTCGTGATTCTAGATCCCAGCTCTCTGAACAAACTCTTCATCTTTTTATCTATTTTTTCATGTTAATTATAATTATCTTAAAACCTGTGTCCAATAATCCCAACATCTGAATAACCTAGGGTTGGAATCTATTGTTTGATAGTTTATTTTTGTTTTGTTTACATCATTTGACCCTGTCTTCTGGAATAACTGGTAATTTTTTATTAACGGATGGACATTGTACATGAAAACTTGTAGAGGCCCTTGATGGTATTGTCTTCCTCCAGATAATTTTTTATTTTATTTTGTTAGGCACTTAGCATATAGGAAGCTAAGCCTCTTCCAAATAAGGGTTAAGTGTATTGCTCCTTTGTGTGACTAGGCTATTTCTGTTTCACTTGCATAGAGGGAAACCCAAGTGCCCCCTCAACAGGGCCTCTGCTCCATCTTCTTTCCCCCTGTCATGAGACTCCTGCGATCAATGTTTAGATTTTTTTTTAATCTTTCAGAAGTTATTTTCTACTTGTTTTCTTGGCCATTGGCCCTAAGAATGTGTAGTTTAATATCTAGCAAATATTGTAAGAAAAATCACAACAGGAAATCAGGCTCACTTGTGTGCTTTCTGTTTTTCTGAAATCTTGGGCCTGAACTTGAATTTCTGTCTCCCCATTAGTGAGACTGAAGCAAGTTCCCAGCTGCTTCTCTCTAATCTGCTTTTATTCCTTTCACTGGAAATTTGACAATGTTCCTGAGTTATATACAGGGCTCACTTCGATGTGTTTTTCTTCTCTCTGGGATTAGACTCCTGAAATCCTTGTGCCTTGGCCTCTGTCTGACGCCTTCAAATAGTTAAGTTTTAACTGGTCTATTTAGTTGTTTAACATTAAATGAATCTTGCCAATGCCCCTAGCTCTGATAAAGTAAGGAAACATTTAGGGATCTGCTTCAGCCCAGTGATTCTTATCAGGCAATATTGTCTCCGTGATGGGCAGGAAGATCACTTTTTAAGGTTCAGTTAGCAACAATATTCCTAGGCCCAGGGAAACTGCTTCTGAGTAACTTTTGCTGTCAGGACCCCTTACAGGTGCACCAAGAAGGTTACCTTTGGTGATTTGGGAGGTGCTGTCTTACGGCATGATGAGTACCCTCTGCAACTGTCACTTTTGATGAGGATAATTCAAGTCTCGAAAACTCACTATTCCATGGATTATTTGAACATGACCTTCTAGTCCACTCATTGCCATCATGAAGATGAGACTGGTTCACACTGGCTTTCACCTGGAGCACAGGGTCCTCTCCAGTTTACCTGACCATCTTGGATATGTGTGAAAGAAACCCACGACCCTTCTCTGTCAGCCCCACCATAATCCTTCAGATTTTTTTTTTTTTTTTTGCTAAAACTATCAGCCACATACTGCTGCCCATTGCCTACAAGTCATCTTTATGATGGCATCTATGCCCCAGCCAGCCCTCTTTCCCTGGTGATCTATCCACTTACAATAATTGCAAATGAACCTGAACACATTTTTGGTTTGTATTGGATCCCTGGAAATACCAGGTTCTTAATTGGAGTACTTGAAAATAGGTCATCAATACAAACAATGCTCTTGCCTTAGTGGCCTCAGGTCACCAATAACATCATAAATTTCTGGTATCTCATGTACTGAGAACTAAAAATATGAAGCTCATGATGAAAGAACTGCTTTAGAACTGGAAAACTGTTTCAGATACAACAGAGCCAATAAAACTCAGCCACACATGTTAACGAAGCATTTGATTTAGACCCATATATACTTAATTTTATCCTCCCTTTCATTGCCTGAGATGTGTGTATATATGTGTGTGTGTATACCTCAAGATAGCAACCTGATTCACTTCATGGTTTTCCATGTTCTGCTTCCTTCTTTTTTTAATATATATTTTTTTAGTTGTTTATGGACCTTTATTTTATTCATTTATTTATATGCAGTGCTGAGAATTGAACCTGGTGCCTCACACACCTGAGGCAAGTGCTTTATCACTGAGCCACAACCCCAGCCCCTCTGCTAATTGACTCAACATCTTTCTCTTTTCCAATTGACAACATTAGCTATCTTTGGACACTTTCTCAGTTTTTCTTTGTTAATTCAAGATGTCCTAGACTCGATTTCACAATGACTCTATTATACCTGGTGTGTGACACAGCATTATCCAATCTTCCTTTAATTTATTACTCTTTGCTTCACATTTTATAACCAAAAAGAGTAGCTTTACATGACCTCTTTTAAGTCACCTATAAAATGATTTCTAAATTCTAGCCATTCTCTTTGAAATATTGAAATATTACTCCTAATTATGATAATTCATTATTAAAACAAATTTTGGTATAATTATTTCTAATATTCTTTGAAAATGCATACAACTTGTACTTGATAATTGTTCTTTCTTTCACATGATAAATAAACCAATTTAATGACCCTTATTAGCTGGTATGATTCCCTATAGAATAAAAAGACATTGTAAAAGGAATTATCTTTCCTAAGTATACAGTTGTTGTACTCAGTGTCTGCTCTTCCTAGGTGGGCTGGCATGCCCCACCTTCTGGAATTTCACAGTTTCTCCTTGAAAGCCCAGTTCACACAAGAAGCCCACCAGTTTCTGGTACAGTGATTACTGTAAAGCAGGTCCCATCATCTAGTCCCTTCTGGTTAGTTTTCCTCTTGGGGCTCTCTAAGACTTAAAATGAGTCTTATTCATGCCAGCAATTTATTTGAGTCTAAATTATAGCTTCAGTCTAGAATATCTTGGGTGTTTGCCACTGTTTGCTCTAATACCTCTTATTGGCCTACACTGAGATATTTTGATAGAATCTCCAAAAACCTATCCTCAACCAAAGCAGTTAATTCATTGAGTAAATTTATTTTGTCATTCCTTCTTCTTTCCCCAAACTCACTTTCACAAATTTCCTTCAGACCTCCTTGGGTTTTTTTTTTTTTTTGGGGGGGGGGTTGTTTTGTTTTGTTTTGTTTTTCTGCCATATTTGGCCTTTGTTTTACTTACCCAGGTGACTGACAGCTTCCTTGTCCCAAGGCCAGGTGGCAGCACCTGCCAGGTCTTCCCGCACTGAGCTGGCAAAGTAGACATTGAGGAAGTGAGTACTGTTGAGCTGCAGGGCCTCCTTCAGCTCCTTCACACTCATGTATGCCCTGGAGAGCGTGAAAGAAGAGAAAATGTCACACCAAAGCATAGGTAATTAGAGAAAAGGAGGGCCAGACCTAAGCACTCTGATGGAATTCCCAGCCAGCATGGCCTTTTGGAGGGATGCAGAGGCAGAGAGCAGGCTACCATGAAGATATGAAGAGAGGGGTTAATACACCTGTGTGGTATTATTCCAAGTTACATAATATGCTACATTTCATAACACTATGATATCTGTATGGATACTCAGAATTTGACATCATTCTTAATTCTCCACTTACACCCCAACTATTTCTTCAAGAAAAAAAAAATTCAATGATATTACTAATTCTTTGCCTTCAGAATTATCCCCAGGTCATGGTGAAGAGCAACTTCCAACTCTTGGTCTCTGGTACTTTTCCTCACATTGAAGACTTATTACAACAGAAAGTCTAGTGAAGTCACTGTTCAAGCATATGTTTACTATCGGCACTTTTTTTTTTTAAAGAGAGAGAGAGAGAGAATTTTTTAATATTTATTTTTTTAGTTCTTGGCGGACACAACATCTTTGTTTGTATGTGGTGCTAAGGATCGAACCCGGGCCGCACACATGCCAGGCGAGCGCGCTACCGCTTGAGCCACATCCCCAGCCCATGGCATTTTTTTTTTTTAAGGAAAAGGGAAAATAGTGGCTAGAAAATTAAAGTGGTAAAAGAAGATTTATAGGTGTGAAGGACATCATAAAGCCACTATAAATAATGGTAAATGTATGTACATTTCCCACTCCCACCCCTGAATCCACAGAAACTCACCCCCTACTCCTACTGCCTTGTGATATTTACTACATATCTTTATTGGTGGCCTCCAAAGCACTAGGCAATATTACATGCATACTTATGCACAGAATTAAAGCTCTATTAAAAACACATGCCTCATGGACCACAAGAAAGGAAACATGCATTTAGCCTCTTTTAGAAGCTCATATATAGTCAAAGACCTTCAGCTTTCTGGCACCAGTGAAATTTAAAACTTTCCATAAGCAAATAGAGTTTTATCATCCTCACTGAAGAGTGGTTTTAAGAAGGAACAACTTAATCAGAGCCCTGGAGCCCCTTAACCTCCCTAGTTGTTTTGCACAGTGGCCATGGTCTACTATTGCAAATGAAGGGACCTTCCAATTGTACATCAGCAGGGAAGATAGCCTCCTCAATCTGCACTGGAAATTTCCTTAATAGATTTCACTTTGCGATCACTATTCCACCAGGCATTGAAGTCTTCCAACTCAGAAGCTCACTTTAGGATACATGACCCTTCTTCTGCTACGCTGCCTCTCTACCATGCTGTCGATGCCATCTATTCACCCATGGGTAGGATGTGCTGGCAAGGAGCATTAGAGAAATAGAGATCCCAGAGAAGACCAGTTCAAAAGCAAAGAAGAAGAAAAATAAGAACCAAAGATGTTTGGGAGAAAAGGGATAGGGCTTTTCAAATAGCATTTTATTAACTTATAATATCTTGGAAAAATAATTCTCAGCCCCAAGAAATCATCCAAGCTCCATGAGGTGACATCAGATGTGATCAGAGGGATATTCCTTCCACTGCCTTCCTGGAGACACAATGTTTTTGGGCTGTTGCCTGGTTTTCCCTGAACATTAGTCACATTCCCTTTCTCATTCCCTTTCTTCTTTATTAAAATAATTATAACTTTACTGATGGTTTGGAGTGATGACATCAAGTCAATCTTCAATGTGGAGATGTTTCAATAGGTCAGGAGAGGGGAGGGGTAAGAAGGAGAGGAAAGGAGGGAATTAAAGACCAATACTACACTCAGTCCAGGGGACCAAGGCAATCTGCACCCTTTCTCTGTTCTGAGCCAGGTTCCCAATTCAGATTGGGAATTGGAACCTGAACAGTTTTCTCTTTTAGCCTCCCTCACTTTCCCCCAATCCCCTGAGGCCTGGCATGGTCGATTGGGCTATCTCCGTGTTACTGGCTTCTCTGTCTACCATTTACCAGGCTTGGCTGGTATCCCTCTGTCCTCCCTCTACCCAGAAGTTCTGCTCATTTCTCTTGAGCACCTTCCAAGAGGCCTCCTCCTCCACCAACCTCATTAGCTGGTTCTACTCATCTCTCTTTTCTTCCTGTCCAGGCTATAAATTACCCTTCCCCAGGACAGTGCACATGTCAGTCTGGTGGCAAACAGGGTGTGGTGCTCGGATCCCTGAGTGCCACAGAAATAATGGAAGACAGCAAGTCCAAGGGAGAAAATGCATTGTAAACGCTAGAGGCGCCGGACAGGCATTAATTGAATTGATAAACAAAAAACTTATTTTGCTGGGAATAAAGACTGTGATCTAGATTACTCTCTAAATCAGAGAGGATAAAAGTGTGTGAGGTCAGGGTGACTGCTCTGCATGCAGAAGTCCCTTCCTGTTAGATCCCATGTAACCATTTCAGAGTCAATCAGAGCAAATCCAGATAAAAGTCTTAGCTTCTCAACTAATGTGACCAGAGCCTGACTCAGACTTAGAGTAGGGCAAAAATGAATACAGTTCTTAAATGCAAAGCTGAACAACTTGCTCTGATTTGTTAAGGGACAAATAAGCTTAATATTCAAGGGAACAACATGAAATACATAAATGGAGTAAAATGTCCATAGGTCATGAACTGACAAGAACAATGCGTTCAAAGGGATGCATTTTATCTGCTTAATTTCTGCTGGAATCCCCCTTTTTCTTACTCTCTCCATACTCCAGTTGGAGATGCTGCTTACTCACCCTTCTGTCTGAGGGACTTGGACCACGCAAAGTGAAGTTGCATCTCAAGTTTCATAAAAATTGTCTCAGAAACCAGCCCTCCCCAAGGCTGATGCATCAAGTCATTTTGCCCCATGGCTCAAGCCTGTTATTTCTGATGAGTCCCAGGAAGAATATATGCTGCTTGACCACTCTAAGACTGATTTGCTAATTTAGGATAGGCCCTTGCCCAGTTTCCACTCCACTGTGTCTTACCATCTCCTGGGCTTTGTGCAGTCACTCTGATTGCTGCCATGCACCCTGAGCACAGACCCCCAGCCACATGCTGGCTTTTAGAGCACACACAAGTCCCAAAGCTTGTTCAGTTTCTATGTAAAAGTGCATGAAGAATGACTCATTATGCTCTCGTTTATTATCCATTAAGTAACCCTTTATAGACTGATAGAAATAACTCAAGAAGGCAGCCATAAAGAAGAAAAAGATCTTGAGCTATCTGAAGGAAGATGAACCAGTATCAAAAACTGGCATGCTGAAAATTAAGACATAAGGGATAAATGTGCACCCAAGACCAAGATCCACAGACCAGGCAGAGCAAGCCCTCACTGGGAACTGCTTGCCCTCTGCAGGTGGGGAGGTGGCCTCCAGGAAACAAAAACACATGCCCCAAGGGCACTCCATAGGTCCTCACAAAACAACTTGTGCCAAAGCTGGATGTTTTGGTTCAGTTAAATCTAAACCTTCCCGTCATTACTATAAACTATGATTCTCTATCCAAAACACACAGAAGGGTTCCTGCCATGCCTCTCATCCCATCTGCCACTCGGCTTCCTATCACCTAGACTTCTCCCTGAACCCTTGCATTGTGCCCACACCTTAGGGCTTATGTGTCTACAAAACAACAATTGGCTTCTCCCAGCTGCCCAAAGCAATTTCAGAGACTTAGCTTTCTCTCTTCCTTCCAAATTCTTTCTGCTCTCCATCACCATACCCGCTCCACTCCCCTTCATTTCCCATTTCCTGGTTATTCCATACACGAAGAGCTTCAGCATCTGGCTCCATCCTCCCTTTCACCCCAGCTCTGATCATACCCCTTAGAAATGTCCACATTTATGTGAAACACCTCTGAGAATAGTCGTATTCTTGATTTCCTTGCCTCGGATGACCTGCACCGCATTCTCCTTTGGCCACCTATTCTCATCTCCACTCTTTCTCAAAAAAATTTTTTAGATTTGTGATCTCCTGCAGATTTTTCGTTTCACTTGTCTATACTTTCACTTGTTTATAATCATGTCCTCTCCAGGGATTGCTTGAAATCTTCCATATTCTTCTCTTGCCCCTGTGGGCTCAATCTCTTACTCCCTAGATAATCATGCCTTCTTCTTTGATGATAAAACCAAAGCCACTGGTCATGGACTCGTCACTCCCTCCCACACCCCATACCCATGTGCTTAAACTTATTTACTTCCTTACCTATTTTTGCTCTTTCCTCTGATCCCACAGGATGAGGTTTTCTGAGCAAACTGTAACTAACACCCTGCCTTTTTCCTTCTTCCTTTCCAATTCAAACTTCCTAAGAGAATAATTTCCCCATCTCCCATTTGCTTCTTTTTTCCATCTACACTTATAATGCCATTATAACCCAGCTTTCATCTGAATCGTTTTATCAAAATTGTTTTTATTATAGTTGTCAGTGACATCTTAAGTTTTCCTCCCTATAATATAAAAAAAAAATTTCAGGCACCCTCTTACTGGCACAGAATGCTGCATTTTTATTATTGGTTACTTCCTCCTCCCCAAGCTCTCTGTTTCCTTTGCTTTCACTGCAGTGCACTTTCCTGATTTCCTTCTATTTTTGAGACCATAGATTCTCAGTCTCCTTTGGGGGCTCTTCTTCCCCCTTCTAACCTTTAAGTTATGCCCCAGAGTCCTGTGTGTGACCTAAACTTTTCTTGTTCTCCGTGTCCACCACTGAGAACTCCTCAATTTTAAATGTTCAAGCAACATCACTGCTTGGATGGCTCTAAATATGTAAATGTACCCAGTCCCACTTCTCGCTCCAAGAGTAGATTCTTACTTCCACCAATAAGTGAATATCTACCTAGTTTACCCACAGACACCTTGACATCGCCATGTCAGTGTGATGAATGGCTCTACCTAAGCACGAAACAAATTCAGACACAGAAAATTTCAGTGCATTTGGAATAGTGGTCCTTTTGGCAAAGCTGTTGTAGCCATATTTTTCCATAAGTGTATTTTCAAGAAGGGTTGAATTT